TTTGGATTGGGAGCAGTACTAAGCCAGGTCGGAGCAGATGGCGGAGAACATCCCGTAGCATATTTGAGCCGGAAATTGTTACCCCGAGAAGTGAGCTACGCCGCCATAGAAAAAGAATGCCTGGCCGTGGTGTGGGCCCTGAAAAAGTTACAGCCATATCTCTATGGGCAACCCTTTTCCTTGCTCACAGATCACAACCCGTTGGTGTGGCTAAACCGTGTGGCTGGAGACAATGCCAGGCTGCTGCGCTGGAGCTTGGCGCTGCAGCCTTTTGACTTTACCATCCATTATCGCCCCAGGAAACAAAACGGTAACGCCGACGGGTTATCCAGACAAACAGACCTTGAGAAGTGATCTGTGAGCCCTCCCCCGGACATCCCCAAGCCGATCCGTTGGGATCAGACTGTGTATGCCGGCTTGGTTCTGGGGGAGCATTGTGGCAAACCTAGCCACTTGGACTATAACCGGAGACTGTACCTTTAAGGGTTGCCTGTATGTCTGGGGGGATATGTGTTTAACTACGTGTATTGTATGCTGACTGTAATGTATTGAATTGCCTGTATTTGCTATCTGCCGAATGCAGATAGCTGTTTGTATGGGGTTTTCCTTTCGTTTCGCGAACGGCACTTTGGAGGGCCGTTCGTGAACCGAAAACACTACCCTTAATAGCCCACACACTTAGAGGCGTGTGGCGCTGGTTAACCGATTGCAACAATGTTGCTATCGGTAATTAGAGGCTCTCCTGGGTGGCCGTCGTTCGACTACCGACCATGCGGCGGTCGGCCATCTTGGATCCTTTGTTCCCTCAGCGGTGCTAGGTCGTCGAGCGCATGGTACTAAAAACGGCTACTCGACGGCACGAACACTGCTGAGCCTCCAGGACGTTCGGGAGTTCCAGGCCGTTCGGTATTTTATTCCCTGGAAGGCAATCGGTTCTTTTAATATGTTTTGCAATAAATGTGTTTTTCGTGCGGCGTTCGGTTATTTTAGCTGGGATCTGAGCGGTAATCTCACGAATGATGTGCTCAGACCCCAGCTATCTACCGAACGTCCATTTGTTTAAATAGACCGCATATTCATAAAGTTATACATTTTTATACGAATTGTAAATTCTGCTGCACAGAGGGATAATCCACTTAACGGTATATTCCAGTGGGAGGATCCCTCTCATGCAGCAGTGCCTGATGGGAGAAATGCCTTGTATTGTAAGTCCCCCATGTAGTCCCCTCTGGGAATGCCCCTGGGAAGGGACTCAGGAAACCCCTTGCATGGGGACTTGTATAAATTGTGCAGCAGAATTAAAGGACTTCAGTTGACTCTCAGAACTGTGTTTCGTCCGGTTACTGGGAGGTTGGGGATATTGCCTTGTTGTTCTAGCGCTTGACTGTGGATTACTTCCTGAACCAGCGGAATTCGTGGATTTAATATTGGTGTTCCGCTACACATGCCTCTATGCATCAGAGCTGTTTTGGCATCACAAGGGAGACAAAAACAATATTAAGCAGGTGGTTTTAATGTTATGGTTGATCAGCATACAGCACAGTTAAAATATAGTATTTTTTAAATAAGGTATTTAAAAAAGCTTTATAGCAATCTCTGTGATGTTAATGGCATTTGAGAATACCATTGATTTCTCCTCCTCCCTGTCAGTAGGAAGTTTACCTTGTACCAGACTTACTGTATGTGAGAAAAAAATGTTTCACTAATATTACAGAGCCATTGTCAAATATTGCAAGTCAGGGGATTCAGTATCCTGACTGAAGTTTTTTATTTTCCTAATATTTTTGTAAAGAATTAGCAAATAAATGAAATATTGTATGCATTTGCATAATTTACATTTTTATTGTTGTCTGAACAGAAATCTATACACAAAATGTTTGTTTTTATCATACATTTATATGCTAGCAATGCGCCTTATATTGTAAATAAATATGAAGCAAATATTTTTAAACAAATATTGCTCGGTAGTGAATGGCTAAAATACCCGTTCCGTGACCAGAGCTGAGTTGGAGAATAAACCCAAATGAGGTATTTTACCCTATATTTTCCCATTCTGATTTAAACTCGGTCCAATTCACAGTTCGGTGAATAAAAACATGAATTACAGCAAAATGTAATGTGAATGGCAAGATTCAAGCTAAAGCAATAAGTTCCAGATTAGCTATTTGTGTCTAAATTTTTCTATTTGAATATTGGTTGGCCATTCTTTGGAGTTGAATGAATAAATTCCTTAAAAGGACACTATAGTCACCTGAACAACTTTAGCTTAATGAAGCAGTTTTGGTGTATAGAACATGCCCTTGCAGCCTCACTGCTCAATCCTCTGCCATTTAGGAGATAAATCCCTTTGTTTATGAACCCTAGTCACACCTCCCTGCATGTGACTTGCACAGCCTTCCATAAACACTTCCTGTAAAGAGAGCCCTATTTAGGCTTTCTTTATTGCAAGTTCTGTTTAATTAAGATTTTCTTATCCCCTGCTATGTTAATAACTTGCTAGACCCTGCACAAGCCTCCTGTATGTGATTAAAGTTCAATTTAGAGATTGAGATACAATTAAGGTAAATTACATCTGTTTGAAAGTGAAACCAGCTTTTTTTTTTTCATGCAGTCTCTGTCAATCATAGCCAGGGGAGGTGTGGCTAGGGCTGCATAAACAGAAACAAAGTGATTTAACTCCTAAATGACAGTAAATGACAGTGAATTGAGCAGTGAAATTGCAGGGGAATGATCTATACACTAAAACTGCTTTATTTAGCTAAAGTAATATAGGTGACTATAGTGTTCCTTTAATATTTCAACATCAATACAGAAACAATCCTAAGTTTAACCCCTTAAGGACCGAGGACGGTTCAGGACCGTCATCGGCATTTTTGCGTTGCCGACCGATGACGGTCCTAAACAGTCCTAACGGTCAGAGCTACTTACCTGATCGCCGTCGTTCCCCCGGCGGCGATCAGCGTGGCTCCGGTTGTGGGGAGACTGCCTGCAGCCCAGACAGTCTCCCCACGGGAGATTAGGACCCCTGTGGCCATGTGATCGCTTAACACAGCGATCACATGGTCACAATAGGTGTCCATGTGTCTGCCTGCAGGGGGACTGCCTGTGTTGACAGGCAGTCTCCCTGCTAGTGTAAAATCAAAAAATAAAAATAAAGTTAATGTTAATAAAAAAATAAAATAATTATATATGTGTATATATGATATATAGACATATATTATATCTATATAATATATGTCTATATATCATATATATATAATGTCATACTAAGTGTATTTTTATATTAATATGTACTTATATTAATATAAAAATACACTTATAATTAAATTACACACTTATATATATAATAACTATATATATTGTATATATATATTATTATAAAATATAAATAATAAGTAATTTAAATTAAATAAAAAATTTTTAAAATAATAATAAAAAATTTTAAAAAAATTATATAGCTATATGAAATTTTATTCTAACTGTATTTTAAAATTAATATATATATATTTATATCAAAATACACTTAGAATGAATTTGTATATATATCTATGTATATAAAAATAAATAAAATAATAAGAAATATACATACGTCCATATACAAAATTACATAAATAATTATATAAATATACACGTAGACTTCAAACATATAAATATGCATATATATTTAAATTCTACGTGCGTATTTATGTAATATTTTTACATAATTCAGTAATTCTATTGATTGCAATTTGAGGGACCTGCCTGCCAACCCAGGCCGAAATTCCAGAGAATTTAATTTGCTAGCACTGTATTTTACCCTGTAACGTTCTACGACACCCTAAAACCTGTACATGGGGGGTACTGTTTTACTCGGGAGACTTCGCTGAACACAAATATAAGTGATTCAAAACAGTAAAACATATCACAGCGATGATATTGTCAGTGAAAGTGACTTTTTTGCATTTTTCACACACAAACAGCACTTTTACTGATGATATAATTGTTGTGATACGTTTTCCAGTTTTTAAACACTAATATTTGTGTTCAGCGATGTCTCCCGAGTAAAACAGTACCCCCCATGTACAGGTTTTATAGCATTTTTGAAAGTTACAAGGTCAAATATATGGGTCAAATATTTTTACATTGAAAATGGCCAGGTTGGTTACGTTGCCTTTGAGAGCGTATGGTAGCCCAGGAATGAGAATTACCCCCATGATGGCATACCATTTGCAAAAGAAGACAACCCAAGGTATTGCAAATGGGGTATGTCCAGTCTTTTAGTAACCACTTGGTCACAAACACTGGCCAAAATTAGCGTTCAATTTAGTTTTTTTACTTTTTTCACACACAAACAAATATGAATGCTTACTTTGGCCAGTGTTTTCGACTAAGTGGCTACTAAAAAAGACTGGACATACCCCATATTGAATACCCTGGGTTGTCTACTTTAAAAAAAATATGTACATGTGGGGTGTTATTCAGAGATTTATGACAGATAATAGTGTTACAATGTCACTATTGATAAATTTTAAAAATGTATGTTTTGAAACCGCAATATCCTACTTGTACCTATAGCCCTATAACATGCAAAAAAAAGCAAAAAAGCACGTAAACACTAGGTATTTTTAAACTCAGGACAAAATTTTGAATCTATTTAGCAGTTTTTTTCATTCGCTTTTGTAGATGAGTAAAAGATTTTTCAAGTAAAAGTCAAAAAACATGTATTTTTTTTCATCAGATTTTTGTATTTTTTTTAAATTAAAATACATGAGATTATATAAATAATGGTATGTAAAGAAAGACCCTTTTGTCCTGAAAAAAACAATATATAATTTGTATGGGAACAGTAAATGAGAAAGCGGAAAATTACAGCCAAACACAAACACCACAAAAGTGTAAAAATATGCCTGGTCGCAAATGTACAACATCGCAAAAACAGTCCAGTCCTTAAGGGGTTAAGAAAGCAAATGCAGACGTGCAGTACCGCCCGCCTACCAGAAGAGGTCCGTCTAACAAATATCCTTTAACGTAGGCCCTTCTTGCCTGACGTCGGAGACGCACAGTTATCTGAGCGTGCCCGGAAGAAGGAGGTCCTTTCCATTGCAGACGCAGCCATGGTGAGATGGATTCTCTGTTACCTTGCGTTTTCAATCCATTGCCATCTTCGTTATCTATCATGTTTTCACTTGTTGCAGTCATATAAAAATAGAGTATAGCTCTCTGTTAGACGGGCCCGGCCTGTAGTGTTGGGATTTACTATACTGGGGGGTGTAAACGGAGGGAATCCGCTATGGGTGCAGCTGTGGGCCGCCATTCTGCCTGGCTGCTACATAGGAGATCACGTGAGGGGTCTGCTCTGTGCTGGATGTTATAAGTGAGAGTTCAGGTTTTATCTCCGCATGTTCAGTCGTAAAGTGCGATAACTAAATTCCCCCATACACTCAGTATGCTTGATCTGCAGAGTCCTTGTATTGTAATGGGCCTCCTTCTCTTGTAGCTATGGTATATATGTAGTATAGTAACGTGGCTAGCATAAGCAGTGTTTCTGTCCCTGTATTGTGTGCATGGATGCTTTGTATTACTCTTGTAAAGTAGTGTGAACTCTCCTTGTCCCATATCTCATCTTTATAATGTATGCAATAACTACTTAACTGTGTTTTAGTTAGAGGCTGGAGTGTGTGTGTTAGGCATTTGAAAAGTAGCTCTTGAGCTTTTAGTATGTTAACTGCAAGAGGAGTAGGGCCTGAACTACCAAAAGAAAAGTAAAACGACTTGTCTGTCCACTGTGGTATACACTGACCGGGAGCAAGAGTAAATTTGGTATAGACATTCAGTGTTTAAGGTATATAAGCGATGATGTATTGAGGTTTTGCTAAATATCAAGGATGTTGCATTTAATGTGAGATGCATGCACAATAATTCAACTTTTCCTCCTTACCTAGGCTCGTGGACCCAAGAAGCATTTGAAGCGTGTTGCAGCTCCCAAGCACTGGATGCTGGATAAGCTGACCGGTGTCTTTGTGAGTATCTATTTTTTTTTCCTTTTAAATTTCTTACTAAGCTTGGTTTTGTGGGGGGAACTAAAACATTAGTAAACTTTTTTGTTTGACACCATTGGATTGTCAGGATATCTTTTTACTGTGAGGACATGTCCTTTTTAAATCATTCTTGTGGGTAATTCTATATTAGATGAAGGTGAGTGTGACCATTAAAGGACCACTATAGGCACCCAGACCACTTCAGCTCAATGAAGTGGTCTGGGTGCCAGGTCCATCTAGGGTTAACCCTGCAGCTGTAAACATAGTTTCAGAGAAACTATGTTTACACTAGGGTTAATCCAGCCTCTAGTGGCTGTCTCATTGACAGCCGCTAGAGGCACTTTCTGACTGTGATTTTCACAGTGAGAAGACGCCAACATCCATAGGAAAGCAGGACTGATTGCATGCGCGCGCGGCCGCGGATGATGTCAGAAGAGGGGGAAGAGTCCCCGGCGCTGGAGAACAGTAAGAGTTTAACCCCTTCCTTCCCCTTCAGCCTGGCGGGAGTGGCATTCAGAGGGTGGGGAGACCTAAAGACCCTATAGTGCCAGGAAAACGAGTTTGTTTTCCTGGCACTATAGTGATCCTTTAAGTACAAATAGTGTATTGTGCTTATATATGGGATAACTGTATTATGACTTATTGGCTCTTAATACGCTTGGTGCCGATGTAACGTTTATTAAAGGTGCACCACACTTGTGTATAATAGAATAGCGTGTATATATATTTTTTTCGCAATCATAGTGACTAAAACACTTCTCCACTGTAGCTTAAACCTGAATCTTTATCTTTTTTTCCCCCTATTTACAGGCACCTCGTCCATCCACTGGTCCCCACAAGCTCCGCGAGTGTCTGCCCCTCATCATCTTCCTAAGGAATCGATTGAAGTATGCTTTGACTGGTGACGAGGTCAAAAAGATTTGCATGCAACGTTTCATTAAGATCGATGGCAAAGTCCGAACAGATATTACATATCCAGCGGGATTTATGGGTGAGTACTAATGTAAGAAGTGCTTAGTTTGGTATTTTTGAGTTATCAGTGGTTGCAGTTTTATCCATTTATGAATTTCATGTGTGCCCTGTATTAAAACGGGGGCATTTTATTTTTCATTGTTTAGTTTGCTCTATCAAAATGTGTCAACATTCTAATCCTTCTCTACATAGATTTGGAGAATATTTTGTAGTTTATCAAGTTAAATTGTGCCAGAGAAGATTCTAACAGACCAAGTGGCTTCATGTTTAAATATTAATAAAACTCAGGATTTAAAAAAACAAAACAAAAAAAAAACCCAAACAAAAACAAGAGATATGTAATCTGGTGGCGCATTTTCCCTTCACATAAACCTTTTTATATAATTGACTGGAAACAACTCTTTTCTCTAATCCATGTACAAAACATTTTTATCATTGTTTTTCAGTCTGTCGTATATTTAAAATGAGCTCTGTACTTGTTGAGAAACTGGAAACTAGCAAATTGTTAAAGGGGCACTGTATCTGTGTCATTTCGTTGAACTGGTTAAAGTGTCTGGTGTCCTTTTATTCAGTTTTTTTATTTTATATTTTAATGCTTAAAGGGATTTTATAGTGTAAGGAATACATATCTGTATTCCTAACACTATAGTCCCCTCTGGTTTCTGTAGTCGGGAGGGGTGGCTCATGCGCCCGCCGTGTATTAGACCCTTACTATAGATGAGCATAGACTGATTTCAACAGAAGCAGGATGAATATGTAATACAGCTGTCGGAAATTAATGAATGGACAGTAATCCAGTCTAACTACCTCTTTATCAGGGTTATTTACTAAAGGTGAGAATTCGAAGTGCATTTCAACTTTTAAGGCCAGAGTAATTAAACTGATAGCATAGCTGAGTGAACTGTTCCAGTTTTGGCTATTTACATTTACAATTATATTTGAATTCTCCTTTTAGTGAATAACCGTGTAAAATGTATATAAACTATAAGAACGTTTAATTTTAAATTACGTAATGATTCTGAAGTCCTGTAATTTTGTTTTGAGCTGGGCTTTGTTGTGGTTTTTTTTGTTTTTCTTCTGTTGATGTGGGCAAGGAGTACGGTAAATATTCTGTCACACTCAGACCTATTGCATACATTGTTCCACAGATGTCATCAGCATTGAGAAGACTGGTGAACATTTCCGTCTGGTATATGACACCAAGGGTCGGTTTGCCGTCCACAGGATCACAGCCGAAGAGGCCAAGGTGAGAGAGGCAATAATGGTTCTGAATAAATGAATACACAATTGTTTGTCATGTTTAAAGGGAGCACTATAATTTCTTAAAATCCGTATCATTACTCTGTTCTCAGGGCATTCCAATAGTTTAGAATTTAGGTATTTGCCAATTTTATTCTGCTCGATAAAACAGCTGAAAACTTGAGATAGATATATATCTTTTTAAGGTGATTCTTTTATTATAACATTACATTTAAAAAAAAGTCCCGATAAACATATCGACACTTAGGGTCTTTTTCAAGATCTTGATAAAGACCATTTAGGGGTCGAAACATTGATCGAGATGGTTTTTAATATTATAATAAAAGAATCACCTTTATAAAAAAAAAAAAAAAAGTGCATCTACTAGTGTGTATGTGTGTATGTGTGTATGTGTGACATGTATTGGCCCTTATGTATATATATATAACAACATATATATATAACCAACAATATATATATATAACTGCTACTCTTTCTATACTTACTCTAACTATAACACATATGTGTACAACTAACTTAACAACATATATATATATATATATATATATATGTATATGTGTATGTGTATATATATATAATATATATATATATATATATATATATGTATATGTATATGTGTGTGTATATTTTATTATTTGTACGCTGTGGATGCACCAAGATTTAGCTTGAATATGCCTTAAGAGTGAGTGCCAAGACAACTATATATAGATATATACACTGAACAAAATTATAAGCGCAACACTGTTTTTGCCCCCATTTTTCATGAGCTGAACTCAAAGATCTAAGACTTTTTCTATGTACACAATAGACCTATATTTCTCAAATAATGTTCACAAATCTGTGTTAGTGAGCACTTCTCCTTTGCCGAGATAATACATCCACTTCACAGGTGTGGCATATCAAGATGCCGATTAGACAGCATGATTATTGCAAATGTGTGCCTTAGGCTGGCCACAATAAAAGTTCACTGTAAAATGTGCAGTTTTACTGTATTTGGAGGATCCAGGGGAGCTCCGAAAACCAGTCAGTAGCTGGTGTGATCACCATTTGCCTCATGCAGTGCAACACATCTCCTTTGCATAGAGTTGGTTAGGTTGATTGTGGCCATTGTACTCAATGCGTGACATGTCCGGTGAGTATGCTGGCAATGCAAGAACTGGGATGTTTTCAGCCTCCAGGAATGGTGTACAGATCCTTGCAACATGGGGCCATGCATTATCATGCTGTAACATGAGGTGATGGTTGTGGATGAATGGCACAACAATGGGCCTCAGGATCTCGTCACGGTATCTCTGTGCATTCAAAATGCCATCAATAAAATGCACCTGCGTTCGTTGTTCATAACATACGCCTGCCCATACCATAACCCCGCCGCCACCATGGGCCACTCGATCCACAACGTTGACCTCAGCAAACCGCTCACCTACACAATGCCATACACACTATCTGCCCTGTACAGTGAAAACTGGATTCATCCTTGAAGAGAACACCTCCAAAGTGCCAGACACCATCAAATGTGAGCATTTGCCCATTCCTGTTGGTTACGGCGAAGAACTGCAGTCAGGTCGAGATCCCGATGAGGATAACGAGCATGCAGATAAGCTTTCCTGAGATGGTTTCTGTCAGTTTGTGCAGAAATTCTTTGATTATGCAAACAGATTGTTGCAGCAGCTGTCCGGGTGGCTGGTCTCAGACGATCTTGGAGGTGAAGATGCTGGATGTGGAGGTCCTGGGCTGGTGTGGTTACACGTAGTCTGCGGTTGTGAGGCCAGTTGGATGTACTGCCAAATTCTCTGAAATGCCTTTGGAGATGGCTTATGGTAGACAAATGAGCATTCAATTCACAGGCAACAGCTCTGGTGGACATTCCTGCAGTCAGCATGCCAATTGCACGCTCCCTCAAAACTTGCGACATCTGTGGCATTGTGCTGTGTGATAAAACTGCACATATTAGAGTGGCCTCTTATTGTGGCCAGCCTAAGACACACCTTTACAATAATCATGCTGTCTAATCAGCGTCTTGATATGCCACACCTGTGAGGTGGATGTATTATCTTGGCAAAGAAGTGCTCACTAACACATTTAAACAGATTTGTGGACAATATTTGAGAAAAATAGGCCTTTTGTGAACATAGAAAAAGTTTTCAGCTCCTGAAAAATGGTGGCAAAAACAAGTGTTGCGTTTATAATTTTGTTCAGTGTATATAGATATTTATTTATTTTTTTTTTTGTGGTGAGATGCTGGTAGATGTGTGGAGGCGGGAAGACGTCATACAATCCTCCTTTTTAAAACAGGTTTCTACTTCTTGATCAGTAGTTGATCTTTATGGTCCTGTTTGATTTTTCAGTTTTGTATTTTCTAACACACTTTGCTTTTTTTTTTGTTATTCCATTGTCCTATCTTTTTGACCTTGTTAGGAGTGTCATGCACTGTCATAAATGAATGGTGATACACCATTTTGCTTTTCCTGTCAAGATGGCTGGGAAGTTTATCTCCTAGTTCCAGTGGAACTAATCTCAGAATTAGGTTATTGCAAATAGTGTCTACCTTTGAAATTCTCTGTGATGTAAAAAAAAAAAAGCTTGACAAGTGTGTATGTTTGATCTGCAAAGTTTGTCAATGCCTTTTCACTGGGCATTTCCATCTCATCTGTGCCTGGTGAAGTGTAGGGTTTGTAGTTGCTGTAGACACTAGATATGCAGCTGATGCAACTCAAAATTCCATATTCATATAAAAAAAAACTACCAAAAATTATACATATCATTTTGGAGGATATTTACTTTAATTTTTTTACATATATAATATACCTTTTTTTTTTTTTTTTTTTTTTTTGCGTTTGGTTAACATCTTTTTTTGATCCTGTTTTCAGTACAAGCTCTGCAAAGTGAGGAAGACCTGGGTAGGAACTAAAGGAATCCCTCACTTGGTAACACACGACGCCCGTACCATCCGTTATCCAGATCCTCTGATTAAGGTCAATGATACTATCCAGATTGACCTCGAAACTGGAAAGATCACAGACTTCATAAAGTTTGATACAGGTAAGTGTAGCACTAGCTCTCTACCCATCTGTGTTTAGTTTTGCAGACTCTTTGTGAGAAAACTTCTTTACTCAAAGCTCAACTGTTGCATCATATTTTTGCACAATCAAAGTGGGATGGTTATGCTTTTTCCTTCTGTATACCTGTATATTTTTTTATAATGATAGTAATCACCTGCAAAGATAGACAAGTGCTTTGAAACGTTTTAGTGCATATACACTGGTGCGGTGTATAATGCCAGGAGCATGTGTGCTTGTACGTCATTTCTCTGGATCTATAGACCGTACTTGAATGCTTTTTGTTTTAAACACTGCCTTTTCAGAGAAACAGCTGTTTACATTACAGCCTAGGGACACATCCAGTGGCCACTGGAGGTGCTTCCTGGGGAAGTGCTGCACTGGCGTTCAGCAACTCCACACTCTGCATGGAAATACTAAACTTTCCTCGTAGAGATGCGTTGATTCAGAGGAGGTGCTGATTAGCAAAGGCGGCATTTGGTGCTGTCCTCGGCCCGCCTCCTTGGCTGGGATCATCAGAATTGACTATCTTAGCTAATCCAATGCTTTCCTATGGGAAAGTGTTGTGATTGGCTGAGATCATAATGTCTGATGAATAAAGCGGTCTTGGTGTATAGATTATGCCCCTCAGATTTCACTGCTCAATTCCTTGCCATTTAGGATTTAAATCACTTGTTTCTGTTAATGCAACCCTAGTCATAGTTTGTTTATGTAACCCAAGTCACACTTTCCTGCCTGTGACCTCCAGTTTTCTCAATACTTCCTGTAAAGAGAGATCTAATGTTTACACTTCCTTTTATTGCACATTCTGTTTAATTTAGATTTTCTCATCTCCTGCTTGGTTAATGCCTTCTAGACCCTACATGACCCTCCTGCATTTTAAAGTTATATTTCCAGAGCAGGAGATTAAAACTTTTGAATTGAGTTTCAAATTATCTTTATATTTGATGTGTGGAGGTGTGACTAAAGCTGCAAAAACAAAATGATTTATATCCTAAATGGTTGAAAATTGAGCACTGAGACTGCAGGGACATATTCTATACTCTAAAACTGCTTTTATTAAGCTAGCTGTTTTGATGCTTGGTGTCCCTTCAAACAGTTGTGTGAACATAACATTCATTGTTAATGTATCTAAAGGATGCATGTCAATGTCTCCAGCACCACCTCCAATTACAAAAAGGAAATATGAAATGGGGTTGAACAGATTTTCAGTTGGAATTTCATGTTATTGCTAGTGACCAGGGACAGAACAAAGGTTGGGTACTTAAGCTTTCTGTGAAACGTAATATGATTCAAATGTGCCCATCTTACTAGTTTATTTGTAACATTTACTTAGAATTGACTTGTGCATTGCAGTGATTTCAATCTGAATTCACTGAAGCAGAAATGACTGACTAGGACATTTCTTTCGTCCATTTTTGTCCTAAAATTTGAAATTCTGTTCTTCTGTTTCCCTTTTACCTAAAACATCTTGATGACTAGATGCAGCCTGATAAATGTAAATATAACTATTTAATAGAAACCGTTAGATTTAAGTTTGCCAGTCAGAATACCTTTTTTTTTCTGAAGGCTTTCATATTCTCTGCCATGGCTAAGAACACGGTTAAATCAATGATTAGAGAAGCATTTGGGTGCTACTTCTCAGTGGAGAATAAAATCTTCTTTGGTGGCAATTACCACATGTGCTCCTGACCACTGCAGTGCTTCAACATACCAAGCAAGTAGCAGTGGTTTTCTGCACTACAAATGGTCATTTTTGTCTTTCACTACAGTTACATATGTTGTGGGTTTCCTTTTAAATAGTAGTGCAAATGATTTTTGCATTAAAATAGTCTGGCAAATTATTTTTTTAATTTCTATACTTGATATCCATACCTCCTGAATTTATGGACTCTCCGTAGCACACTGCTTGAATTGGAAACATTGCTTCATAAAACAACTGAGTTGGAGACCTAAAGAACCATTCCACACCCCAAAAGCACTTCAGATTGGTGAAGTGTTTTATGGGTGACTAATATCCTAATCTAACCCCAGTTTATAAAAGTGATTTCTATGAGAAATCGGCATTTTATAAATTAAGTAGGGAACTGATCCTGGCTGTCAATGAGAAGCCTCTGGTTATTTCCCTGTGAAGAGACTGAAAGTCTCTTCTGGGGAAAAGGGAGGAGGGCTTGCTAAGGCTGCAGTTCACAAGATCTGCAGCTTTTGCAAGCTCTTTTGAGATACACCAATGAATACATGCTTGTATTCACTGGCGATTTATCTACTAAATAGTGATATAATTATTTTTTGCTCCTTTAAATCCCTAAATAGCCAGTTGATTTGTTGGTTAAAAAATTAAATGTGTTTTTAGTAATAAAACAAGCTTTTCTGTCTAGCTATTTCCACAGGGGTTAATTGATATATCAAGGTAACAGGTTTTCTGTTTAAAGGACCACTATAGTGCCAGGAAAACAAACTAATTTTCCTGGCACTATAAGGTCTTTAGGTACACTCCCACTGGGCTGAAGGGGTTAAACTCTTACCTTTCTCCAGTACCAGGCTCCCTCGGCGCTGGGGAACTCTCCTCCCTCTTCCGACGTCAGCTCCGAATACGCATGCATGGCAAGAGCCGTGCGCATTCAAACAGTCCATAGGAAAGCATTTCTCAATGCTTTCCTATGGATGTCAGCGCCTTCTCACTGTGATTTTCAGTGAGAAGTGCGGAAGCGGCTGTCAATGAGACAGCCACTAGAGGCTGGATTAACCCATATGTAAACATAGTTTCTCTGAAACTATGTTTACAGCTGCAGGGTTAACCCTCGATGGACCTGGCACCCAGACCACTTCATTGAGCTGAAGTGGTCTGGGTGCCTATAGTGGTCCTTTAAGTGCCTGTCTTATTTGACCATCTTCATTTTTAAGCCTTGTTTAAAGTGTCTTATTTGTACATAGTAATGTTTTACTGTCTTGTGTCCACAGGAAACCTGTGTATGGTGACTGGAGGAGCCAACTTGGGTCGTGTTGGTGTCATCACCAACAGAGAGAGGCACCCTGGCTCATTTGATGTGGTCCATGTGAAGGATGCCAACGGTAACGGCTTCGCCACCAGGCTGTCTAACATTTTTGTCATTGGAAAAGTGAGTTATCTCTCTTCTACATAAGTGTTGACAATCACATTACTAAAATGATAAGCTGTTTTGCATGCTGGCATCTTTGTGTCCCGGGGTTTGACATGCATTTTTGGCTGCAAACTGAATATGGCAAATATTTTTCTAGGACAGAGGAAGTTGTGTGTGTGGTTATTTTTTAATGTAGTGTTATCTGAGCAGGAACCAGAATTAACCCTTTTAGGTGTTGCTGTAGGGTTTGACAAGCCTGTAGTTTTCAGTAGAACTAACCCATCGTGTTCCCTTTTAAATGTGTTGGATCTATATAAAAGTTTTACTTGATCAGGTAATCTACTTTTTTAAAAGTTTGTACCATCTGTGCCATGCAGCACCATTTTATTGTTGCGGGGGTGCTAACTGCATGGGAAGGTGGTTTTATCAGCAACTGGGTTAAATACTTGCAAAAACATATTATTTAGGGATATAATTTTAAGAAGTGCGCTAAGTTTTTTGCTGCAAGGAAAGATCGGACTGCTATGCTGAGGTCGAGAGGGACTTTTTCCTAGTTTGTTTCAACTTAAAGCAGCAATGTCCTGCTGAACTTACCTTTCCCTAATCACTTCTCTCTCAGGATCTGTACTTCATTTCTTCCTGTCTGCTCTAGTTTTCTTTAAAACATAAAACAAAGTAGGGACTATTTTGTCTTATGTATATTTCCTACACATGACCAGCAGAGCTGGTCCTCCGTGATTTCGCAATGTCTCCTTTACTATTCCCGAACATCCTAAAGATTACTTGGTATTAGTAATTAATCTGCCCCTACTTGCTATATCGCGAGTGGGGGCATGTCTAGTAAACCTGCCATGGTTGGGCATCTCTTAACTAGTGTATGTTGTCTCGGTCCACCCACCCCCCTAGGACTTGTGGGGCTATTCAACTAAACTGGGGACATAGGGTCCTCCTTGGCCCCCATCAATGGGGGGGAAACCTATTGTTCTCCCCCCGGTAGTCACCCATGAGCGTCGGGTGGGGGCCCTAAATGAAAGGGGGGGCTATTGTCCTCCTCTGGCCCCAACCCAGAGGCGACGGGGGGAGGGGCTAAATGTAAATCCCCTAGTCGCCCCCTCCCACCAACCAAAAAAAGTAATTAAAATTAAATAGTTAATATGGGGGGCAATTTGACATAGGGAGGGGGGTTAAAAAAGGCAGAGAGATAACAAATTCATAAACTATAACATTGCTAAATAAGCTATAACAAATGTGACTTCCTTATGAAACTCTATATAGACATGACTCATCAAAGACTGATTTATTTATTAATTTTTATATTTTACCCCCTCTCGTCTCTAGGGTAACAAGCCATGGATCTCACTGCCTCGTGGAAAGGGTATCCGCCTGACCATTGCCGAGGAAAGAGACAAGAGACTTGCAGCCAAGCAGACCAGTGGTTGAACGCCATCACTTTCCTTTATAAAATAAATCTCTTTACCAATAAGCATGTGGTCTGTTTGTTTTATTTATTTATTTTGAACTGTATTTCTACTAGCTATTTCCATTGTGGTGTAGCTCTTATTTATATTTGTGTTGCTGTGGAAATTGTAAGTCAGAATAAAAAAAGCATCTTCCTTAAGAGCGTATTAGTGCTTAAAATAATGTCTTCAAATCTGGCTACTGGAAAGTATTCTGTCTTGAATCAAACTTCCTGTGGGACTCTCTCCTCTACCAGAGCTGCTCAGGAAATGGAGGAGTCTTCATTCTTGGCGTCTTTCTTGCATGCATAAATATTAGGAGGGGGACATTGAGTAGCAAAACTGCAGTCCCTGATATGAAGTACACTTTATTTTCTGATTATAGTAAACATGCCCCTACAATAGCTGTTTTTAAAAGTATAAAGGGCTATGAATAGCAAGTTTTAGGGGCAAAGTGCTAAACAAGAAGCAATTGCCGTGAAGACATTCATACATATTAATACTTAACCACTTAAGGACCAATTTCTGAAATAAAAGGGAATCATGACATCTCACATGTCATGTGTCCATAAGGGGTTAAAGGGACACTATAGTCACCAGAACTACAGCTTATTGTATTTGTTCTGGTGAGTAGAATCGTTACCTTCAGGTTTTTTGCTGTAAACAGTCTTTTCAGAGAAAATGCAGTGTTTACATTACAGTCTAGTGATAACATCACTGGCCGCTCCTCAGATGGCTGTTAGAGATTCTTCCTGGGTCGTTGCTGCCTAAAATGCATCATAACACTTAGTGTCTCCACCCTCTCTATGCAGACACTTAACTTTCCTCATATAGATTCATTGATTCAATTCATCTCTGAGGAGATGCTGATTGGCCAGGGCTGTTTTTGCATTGTGCTGGCTCTGCCCCTGATCTGCCTCCTTGTCAGTCTCTGCCAATCCTAAGGAGAAGCATTGTGATTGGATCAGGCCACCACTTCTGATGTTAGCAGGTAGCTTGCTGTTCTGAGGCCAAACAGCATGCAGAGCTACAGCTTCAGGCTTGAATAAAAGTAAGATTTTACTATATTTTGTTAGGGGAGCTAGATGGCTTTAATACTATAGGGTCAGGAATACGGGTTTGTGTTCCTGACCCTATAGTGTTACTTTAATATTTAGGAATGCAGAGTTGTTGGCTCTGTATGTGCCATTTGGTTATAGCCTTTTGTTTACATATTCACAAGCTATGCATAAAGGCAATTTTACAATTTAAATGTGATTTAATGTAGCTTGTCTTTCAAAATGTTATTCTTGAGTGAGTTTTGGTTTTTGATATCCTCAAATGTTTGCTGCTTGTTAAATCCTGGCATTGAAGAGGTTCGTGTAAAATCCACAGGGTGGAGAACGGATACTTTTGGAAACTGCAAAATATTTTCTGTTTTTACAATCCCACCTCCTGCTAGCCCTACCCCTCTGAAGGAAGATACTTTTGTAAAGTTTGTGATAATCAGTTCCTGTGGATTTGGAGTAGACAATTTGTTAGGAAGAGATGCTCAGCACTCCAGCTCTATAGCGTTGTGTTGGGAGAAGGACAAAAGACAGGATTACTTTTATCTAGCTCATATCAAGAGTCGGGGCAATTCATTCACAATGATTCTACTTAATTACTAGAACTTCGTGTATTAAAGTGCAATTGGATAATTTGTAAGTTTTGTAAATTTATCCTGTTGAGCATTCTGATGCCTTTTTATAAAAGAACTGTTAGACCACAGTCACCCTGGGGTAGAGCTACACATTTAAAGATTTTACTTGGAGCACCTCACAATGTTACTGCCATGTGTCCAGATGTTTGGACACTCACAGGAGAGACTGCAGAAATCCTTAAGAATCCTGAGCTGAGAACAGGTCAACTGCATGCCGTACCACTGCCTGTTCATTTAAATGCTGCTTGGAGTTCTCTTGGCACTTCTGCCACAGTAAAGATTCTGCCTTCCGTGTTGGGTTATTCCCTGTTAACTGGACAGTTTAATACAAAATGTACTACTGATCTGACTAGTGGCAATGACAGACTTAAAACCGTGGCCCTTTTCCCTGGTGGTGCTGTTCCTGTGCGGGATTTTGATGATGCCTCCTTGCGCTGCTTGATTACCCTACTTGTGCAACTCTCCGATCTAAGTCGTTTGTCATTCTCACTTATTGATGAACTGGAAGAGGAACTCATTTTGTTGCACAGGAGAACAACAAATTTACACCAACGGACAGAAGCCATCTACTGGGTACTATGTAACAGACAGGAGGGACCACCAGTACTTAGCCAGGGCTTGGGTAAAGGTAAGCTGGTGTCTGTTGAATATCTTACACCATATTGCTTCATTTCAAGATTTTACCAGGGAAGTTGCTCTTGGTTGGACTGTAAATCTGTTAAATCAAATGCCTTTTTTAGGTTTTAAATCATTATTATGCTGTAACAATTCCATTGTGTACGTACTATGTATTTGAGTCTTATTTCCCCCTTGTATGGTACCAACTTGAGACCATAGATCATCTTTTATTTTGCCTTTCACCAGTGTCACCGGGTCATAAGCGAGTGTGTTCAGTAAACCGTTCATAGTTGCCTGCAAACATTAGGTCAAAATAGGGTTTCATTTTTTTAATATGCTTTACTGAGTGTTATTTAATCAGTTCCCCTGTCACTGGACATGTGGTTTAGTGAATTAACTCTTGTCAATGTCTGCTAAATAAATGCGTGGTTTTTGATAACTTTATATTTTCTTCATTAACTTGTGGGGTGTTGACAGGGCTCTGTCTTTAACAAGACTCCCTGCACATTTTACCTTAAAGTGTGTGCTTCCATTGATAATTTGCGTTCCAAAACAAATTACCACTTTTCTTATTGTAAAAACATAAGTGCTGAATTGAATATGTAAGATCATAAAAGATTTAGCAGCTAATTCGGTGGTGCTAGTAACAAACTAACTGAACATTACTCACAAGTTCTGCCAAAAACAATCTGGCCCTGATTTTTATTTTTTTATTTTTTTTGAGTGTGGGTACTGTATCTAGAGCAGGGGTTCTCAACCTTGTCCTCAAGGACCCCCTACCAGTCCAGGGTTTAGGGATTACCTGGGTGTGTCTAAGGTGTTTAGAAAAAGAAAAAAAAAAAAACAGAGTCTTAGAGAATGTAATACTCACCCCTGAACAACTTTAGCTTAATGAAGCAGTTTTGGTGTATAGAACATGCCCCTGCAGCCTCACTGCTCAATCCTCTGCCATTTAGGAGATAAATCCCTTTGTTTATGAACCCTAGTCACACCTCCCTGCATGTGACCTGCACAGCCTTCCATAAACACTTCCTGTGAAGAGAGCCCTATTTAGGCTTTCTTTATTGCAAGTTCTGTTTAATTAAGATTCTTATCCCCTGTTATGTTAATAGCTTGCTAGAGCCCCCTGTATGTGATTAAAGTTCAATTTAGAGATTGAGATCCAATTATTTAAGGTAAATTACATCTGTTTGAAAGTGAAACCGTTTGTTTTTTTTTCAATGCAGACTGTCAATCATAGCAAGGGGAGGTTTGGCTAGGGCTGCATAAACAGAAACAACGTGATTTAACTCCTACATGACAGTGAAATTGCAGGGGAATGATCTATACACTAAAACTGCTTTATTTAGCTAAAGTAATATAGGTGACTATAGTGTTCCTTTTAAACAGGGAAAACAATTTTTTTATGGGTAATGCCAAAGCAATACATATAAATGGGAAGGACAGAATAAAAAGTATCAGCTAAAATGTGCAATAAATATTACCGATCTATATGAACATCAAATGTCAACTTTCAAAAAATCCCTAAAAAGGAAATCTGTTTAATTTAGAGGACCTCCTTCACCAGGGGTATGCCATATTTGACACTCCAGATGTGGGCTACATCTCCCTTACTGCTCTTACAGCCATAGAGCTGGCAATGCATCAGGGGAGATATAGTCCACATCTGGAGTTGCCTACACTGGGTCTCAAGTAACCAAAGAAAACATACAGGTTAATTAATTACATATAGCTCATCGGTCATGAGCGGATGATCCATACCTATAGTGGAGATGCAAAACAGGTGGAAAAATCATTGTCTTAAATATTCTTCGAACAGCAAAAATATAAGACACAAACAAAGCATTCAGTATGATTAGATACTGTCCCCTGCATTTACATAACTGTGGTATCGGAGACCTTATGGACATCTACTAGAGTCAGCATTCCTACAGATGGGAAGTTGCTTTTGTGGGTCGAATCTCTTGAGAATCTATACTAACTTTTGGATTGAGATATTGCAACATATAATTAAACATTATAATAAATCAGTGGTGTCATTAGAGGGTGTGTGGATAACACTTAGTGATGTTGGCTGGCTTCTGCTGAGGCTGTTGTGGCTTTTTATGGGCAGGTGAGGAAGATCAAAGATTTCTGGTCTATTCCTCTTGCGAGCCCTGGCATGGGTGAATTGCCATTGTTACCCACAGCAATGCGCTGACACTATCGGAGAACTGGAACTTCCAACAAGAATCTACAAGGTATGCACCTTCGAAGAATTTACCACCGGACCACCAGTGATCTATATTTCCCCCTTCCTAGCTAACAAGAGGGAGAGTAAACTTGCTTGAAATTGAAAATATTACACAACGGTGTTTCCCCCATTCCCTTCATATACACAGCATATATACTACATCCTCTACACCAGTTGAATGTCCTCTTACTGTACTCAAAAAAGTGAAAACAAATCAGACTTCAAATTTAAAAGGTTAATTTTATCCCTTAAGAATTGTTTTTCGCTTTGCTTTATTACTTAATGTACGATAAACGTGCTTTTAATTCCAGAAAGGGACACTGTGAGCACCAATACAACTCCTCAATGAAGTTATGGTACCTGAAGGTTCTGGGCACAGTCTTATATTGAAGAATTAAACAGTCTAACCTCAAAGTTGTGTAGACAGCACCTATCCTAACATTCTACTAGTAAAGTCCCCTGCTTCACTGCAAAGCCTTGGATTGGATGCCTGTGATAACCTGACACTTAGCCTTTCTCTTGCTTTCCATTCAGAAAACTGTAAGAGAAGTATCTTTTCTTTTAAAGGGACACTAAGCACCCAGACGTATTTAGCTTATTGAAGTGGTCTGGGTGCAGTGTCCCAGGTCCCTTAACACTGAGCAGGTAATTATTGCGTTTTTAAGAAACTGCAAAAATAACCTGCTAGGGTTAACTCCACCTCTCGTCGCTGTCTACCAGACAGCCAGTAGAAGGACTTGCGGGCTGATAGGTGACTTTTGGTTGCTTAACTGACGCTGGACGTCCTCACACTACACATGAGGATGTCTAGTGTCTCCCAAAACCCCATAGGAAAGCACTGAATAATGCTTTTCTATGGGGAAATGCTAATGCAACGTGGCCATTGCCAAGCATGTGCATTAGGCCTCCCCTACCAGCTGACAACGGTGGAGGAGGAGAGAAGGTGAGCCAGAGCCGAGGAACATTGACAGAAGGGGTTATTAACTCCTTCTGCACCACGGGCGGGAGAAGGAGTTGATCTTCCTGGCACTATAGTTTCCCTTTAAATACCAAAGGCATGCAATATTGTAAATAGATCAGATTAGAACCTCCAGGAAGGGATTAAGAGGAACTGATACACTTATGAATAACATGCATGCAATTGCACCATACCAGCAATTGAAAGGTATCTCTAAATATACTTGAATATTTGTCCCAACAGTTTCCCAAAACTTAAAAAAAATGCAAGCCTATCTTAACTATCATGGATTACAGGCCAAAACTAGTAGATGTAGTTACACTGAATATTTGTATACAAAATGTGTGTTCCAAAATATTACTGTATGATATAATTTAGCTTCTGCGGCTCTCAAAGCTTTCTGCCTTTGAAATTCCTCTCATAGAGAATCATTGAACGTTGATTCTCTGCAAGAAGCCATGAATGTAACAATGCACATTCTGACATCACAGAGCCAGTAAGTATCAGGCCTGACTCTCTGATTCAGAGGGTTTAGAGCAATGTACTCAAGCCCTAAATCAATTTAAATAGAGTTGGAGGACAGAAAAAAGGGGAAAATATTTAAAGCACTATAACAACTTCAGTAAAATAAAGTTGTTATAGTGCATATAGTGTTCTTCTAACCTCCATTCTGATATCAGTCCAAGAGAATTCAAACCAAACCCATGTGCAAAAAGGAGTTTATATACAGATAATCATTTTATACACAGGTTGAAATTCGCCAATGATTTTTGGTATGTGTTAAACATAGCTGCCTCTATATCATAGTCATCTCTATTGAGAACTGAAACCGCACCCTCATGTTTGGAACATTTTAACTTGTAGCTGACCTAATGCTGGCTTTTCTTTGAAATTAAATTGTTGCACTGTTAGCCGGGCCGGTGCAAGGATTTCTGCTGCCCTAGGCAAACAAAAAGTTGTTTGCCCCTCCCACCATATGTTTTGCCCACCATGTGACATCACAATCCCCCACCCATATGATCTGCCCTATGAGCCAACACCAGTGCTGCACACAGTGTCTTTTCTCAGAAATGTCAGTGTGTTTACATAAAAAAGCCTGCAGGGACAGGCTATAGACACCACAACCACTACATTAAGCTGTAGTGCTTCTAGTGACTATAGTGTCCCTTTAATGTGAGGTAAATTAGAGATTAGTGCCATGAATAATATACTAGATTGCCTACTTCCCACCAGATGGGACAAGAGGATGATGATGGGCTCAGGCTGCAGTCTGGCTCCACTGGTCTGGTGTTAAAACAGGCTCTCTTGTAACAGTTCTCACAAAAATCAACAAACAAGAAGCAGCTCCATTTTTGGGGGCCCCTTACACAGATTATGCCTACAAGGTCCGCCCATAAGCCTTATGCCTACAAGCCCAACCATGAGTTCGCACACAGGGAGTGGAGTGTATGTGTGTAGGGGATGTGTTATTGTAGAGGACGTAATGTGTATGTGTTCTTATGGATGCAGTGTGTGTGTAAGGGACGCATCATGTGAATCTGTGTTTGTATGTGTAAGGGATGCAAGGTGTGTTTCTGTATATGTAATGCAGTGTGTGCCTGTAAGGAATGCATTAAGAGAAGGTGTGTGTGTCTGTGTGTATGTGTGTAAGTAGGGATGCATTGTATTATTCTGGGCATGTGTGTGTGTAGGGATGCATTGTGTTTTTCTGTGTATGTGTAAGGATGCATTGTGTATGTGTGTAGTGTGAAAGAGAGGGTTTGTGGGGTAGGATAGGGGCTGAGAGGGGAGCAGCTCTTTATTTTATTATTATATTTATTTTGTTAATATAATTTTTTTTGCATATTTGTTCTTAAGCTTTTGTGTCT